AGACTTCCAGTGTTGGGACATTCACAACTTCTGGAGGCAATTTCTGTTCCACTGATTAATTGTTCTAACTGTCAGGAAATTTCTCCTCAGTTCTAGGTTGCTTCTCCTTGATTAGTTTCCACCCATTGCTTGTTGTTCTACCCTCAGATGTTTTGGAGAATAGTTTGACTCCTTCTTCTTTGTGGCAACCCCTGAGATATTGGAACACTGCTATCATGTGTCCCCCTAGTCCTTCTTTTCATTAAACTCGACATACCCAGTTAAAAACGTTTAATAAAAACTATGTTTAGTGAACTTTGCCCCATTTTACGACATTCCTTGTCACAACTGTTAAACGAATCACTGCAGTTATTAAGTGAGTCACACGGTGGTTAAGTGAGTCTGGCTTCCCCGTCTACGCTGCTTGTCAGAAGGTCACAAAAGCGGATCACGTAACCCCGGGACACCGCAAGGGGTCACAAACAGGAGTCAGTTGCCTGGAGTCTGAATTGGGATCGCAAAACTACGAGGATGCTGAAAAAAATCATCAGTGTGAAAAACGGTCACACGTCACCTTTTTCAGGGCCGTTGCAACTTTGAACCCATCACTAAATGAACTGTTGTAAGCCGAGGACTACCCGTACCATGTTGTGTGCAGAGAGGTCCGTGTGCAGGGACAGCACAGACGTGTTTCCTCAGCTGCACCCATGGGGCTCTGCACCCCTTTCAGCCCCGTCTTCCCCAGGCCAGGCAGGTGACCGGGCGGCCCCTGGGGCAGCCCCTTTCCCTCCCTTGCCCCCCTCCTCACCCCCCTGCACTGCTTCTCTTCCCCAGGAGGCTTCACAGACGCTGCCAAAAAGAAAGTCCTGGCCATCCTTGGCTTCCAGAACCTGCACCTGGAAAAGAACACCTGGTGCGTACACAAAAGGGGTGAAGGGGGGGAGGCTTGGTTTTTTCAGGGTTGGGGTACCCTGTTTCTCCCAAAATAAGATAGGGTCTTATTTTCTTTTAACCCCCAAAATAAGTGCTTAGTCTTATTTTTGGGGAGGTCTTATTATTTTTGAGGTGCAGGAGGCAGTGAGTGTGGTCACCTCATGGCTGCTGCTGTGCTGCAATGTTTTCGTGGAGGGCTTATTTTTTGGGGAGGGCTTATTTTAGCGCATGCACTCAAAAGCCCAATTGGGCTTATTATCTTGGAAAGTCTTATTTTCAAGGAAACAGGGTATCTACCTACCTACCTCTCCATCTTCTGTCATCTGTCTGTCTGTCTGTCTGTCCGTCCGTCCGTCCGTCCGTCCACCCAACCACCCACTCACCCACCCACCTACCTACCTACCTACCTACCTACCTACCTACCTACCTACCTACCTACCTACCTACCTATCCTGTTTCTCCAAAAATAAGATAGGGTCTTATTTTCTTTTGACCCCCGAAATAAGCGGTTGGCCTTATTTTCGGGGAAGTCTTATTATTTTTGAGGTGCAGGAGGAGGCGAGTGTGGTCACCTCATGGCTGCTGCTGTGTTGCAATATTTTTGGGGAGGGCTTATTTTAGCGCATGTGCTCAAAAGACTGATTGGGCGTATTATCCAGGGAGGTCTTATTTTCAAGGAAACAGGGTAGTTACAGGGGTCTGTTTTTAAGTCAGCCATTCCTAGCCCAAGGGTACTCCCTTGCCAAGGGAGCCCATGATGGCCGGCGCAGGTGTGCAGGGGGTGGGAGCAGGTGCTTCTTCAGTGCCTCCGTGAAAATGCTAACTTTCCACCCTGGAGAGAACGGGAGGCAACCGCTGGCGTCCCAGAGCGGCTGCTGAAAATTGCTTTGCGTCTTCTCAGCGAAGGAACGGGGGCGTTTCCGGGCGCCGATATCTACCGCCTGGTCGAGCAAGTAGATGGGCAGCTGAAGGACTCAGTCAGCAAAGTCTTGGAGGATGAAAGGTAGGTGCCAGCAGCACAAGGGCCTGCTGCTCCACAACACTGGCTTGGCCAGGGAGGTGGGTTGGGCAGACCCCTGATTCCCCTTAGTCTCCTTCTGGTTGTCGTCTCCCCCCCTCCAAGGCTAAGCTGCCCCTCATTCTGGAGGGCAAGGAAGTGGGGTGCAGCTTCCATCAGTGGGCCCTGGTTTGGGGCTTCTCAACATCTAAAGTTCCCAAGTTTGGACACCCCTGTGTTAAACTGCTTCTAACATTTCCTCCAAAGTTCTTAAGAGGAACTTTGCTTCTTTCTGGTTAGACCTCCTGCTCTGTTTTCAGCTGGTCCTCGCCTCACAAGCACAATTGAGCCCAGAATTTCTGTGGCTAAGCCAGACAGTGAGTTTTTTACGATCTTTCTTGCCACAGGCTGTTAAGCAAATCGTGGCCGTGGTTAAATTAGTGACATGGTTGTTAAGTGAATCTGGCTTCCTCATTGACTTTGCTTGTCAGAAGGTTACAAAAGAGGAAAATTGCAAATGTCATAAACTGGGACTTCTCTTGGTTTTTCCTGGTTTTTCCTTGAAAACCTTTCACTTCTAATCCAAAAAGCTTCTGGGGAATTCTGGGAGTTGAAGTTCAGCCATCTTAAAAAGTGGCCAAGGTTATAAAACACTGAACTAGCCTATTTAAATTGGTTTGTGCGTGCGGATGCACATACACATGTAAATTATTGTTGTTACTGGTACCTAAGGGTTGGGGTGGCAAGGACAGGTACAGAGAGCCATAACCTTCAGAGGCTAGGATTACGAGCCCTGGTGGCACAGTGGCTACAATGCAGCATTGCAGGCTGACTCTGCCCACAGCCAGGAGTTCAATCCTGACCGGCTCCAGGTTGACTCAGCCTTCCATAAGTCTAAATGCTGTTGCTGTTACTTCATGGCTGCTGTCATCTCCTCTTTCAACGGACTTTCTTGTCTCACCTGCAAGGTCCAAGCTTCACCCAATCTTTTTCTCTCTCTCACACGGCAGCTCCATCAAGGGATGGTTCAGCCCGTATCATCGCAAGCATCAGTTCGGCAACCCACGAAACATGGAAAGTTTCGGCAGCAAAGTGCTCAAGTGAGTGGACCTTGAAGTGGCTAGATCCCAGAGGGGGTGTCCAGAAAACTTTCCCCATCCCTGTTCTTTTCCCTTCCCACGTTTGTGTAAAAAGCACAAATCTTTCCCTTCAGCGGACCTTCCCCGGCTACATGCTCTCCTCAGCATCAGCTGACGTCCGTTACCTAAGGCTCATGATCGGAGGAAACCTGTTAACTTCTCTCTGCATTTGGAAGTTTCGCTCGAGTGGCTCAGCAGTTTCGCCACTGCGGTTCTTCCTCTAGGCCCCCCATGTCTAAGACGTCCCTCCATTTTTAGGTCAAGAGTTTAAAGAAAAAGTATCATTTTATACACGGAAAAATACGGTATATTGGAAGATTTTTTTAAAAAGTCTCTCACTGGATGACAGGGGTGTCAAACTCGATTTCATTGAGGGCCGCAGCAGGGTTGTGTTTGACCTTCGGGGCACGGGGGCCATGGCCAGGGGGCATGGGCAGCATTACATCATACGTGTTGGGGGCGCCTGTGCAGCAGTGTACACTGCGACGGGGCCAGACGTCCACCTCGGGCACGTGTGTAGCGCACGCATGTGTACCCACCGCCCTGTGATGCTCCAGCTGCTCTGCAGAGGTTGCACAGGCGCCATACACAGCACACACGTGCACAGATGACCCAGTTGGTTTAAAAGCAGGTAAGGAACATGGGAGGGTGAATGGGTCTTCCAAAGCACTGTTCCTGTATGGTGGCCGCTGCTCCCAGCGGCCACCGGTACACCCATACCGGGGCGTACCGGCTGAAGCCCACTACTGCTGCACAGGCCTGAGGGCTCTGCGGGCAAAAACGGGCTCCTGGGCTGCATTTTCACTGACCAAGGGTTGCAAGAGGCCATTGCGGCCGAAAACAAAGTCTGGAATAGCCACACACAGCCCTCCTGAGCTTCCATTTTCGCTGGCAGAGGGACTGCTGGCCAGTCCTTCGCTGTTTCCAGGGCGGCCCCGTGGACTAGATCTAGCTATTGCTATTGCTATCTAACCACCCGTGGGCCAGATTCGGCCCGTGGGCCTTGACTTTGGCACCCCTGTATGAGAATATGTAGAATGCGCAGAGCGACGGCTGGCTGGGGAATTCTGGAGGTCCACAAGTCTTGAAGCTGCCAAGGTGGGAGATACCTGCTCTAAGAGGCCTAGGGGTTCTTAATGGGACAGGTGCTGGGCTGCCTGCTGCCTCCCCCCGCCCCAGCCTCAGCCAGGTATCCCTCTCTTCCTCCCCCCCTCCCCAGAGTCCACGAAGAGTGGGAGAGCATCATCCAGACCCTGCGCTCACACATGGAAAACATCTACTTCCCTGACACTGTGGAGGAATGGATGGAGGAGAACGTCAATCCCCACATGGACCACTTGCGCGAGTTTGTCCGGGACTTCAAAGAAGTCATCCGCCTGAATGCCCGGCCCAAGACCCTCTAGGGAAGGGCCCCCTCCCAGGCACAAAGGGGGCCCCTGTTCGTGGTTCAGTCCAACCTGTTTTTTTAAAAACTTGAAAGAACTTGAGGCTGGAGGGGGTGTGGGGGCTCCCTTCCAGGACAAGGTTTAGTGCCTCTTCTAGTGCTGGGCCACCAAAATCCGTTTCTAGCCAGTTTTGATGGATTCCCCTCCCCCCAGTTTGGCACCTTCCCCCTCCCCACCAGCGATGGTGAATCTGTGGGCCTGTTTGGAGAGGGAGCAGTAATTCTGGTGGGGGTCTTGCCGGAGAGAAGAATTTTGGTCCTGGTTTCCATTCCTTTCCATTTCTTCCTTTTCAATGTGGTTTAGAGCTCTCGGGACTGGCACTGTTGGTAGGCTGGTCTTCCCACCCCCCATCCCCCCATGGCTGCTCCTGGGCAGAAAAAGTGCCACAGGATGTGGGGAACGACTGTCACATTCTGACAGAGGTGGAGGTGGGGGCACTGCTGAATGATGTTGAAAAGGACAGAAGAGAAGGAGAACTTTCATCTTTCCCGCACCTTCCTTTGAAAGTCCCTTCTCTTGTCTGAAAATGGGTGGATTCAGAGGTGGGTTCCTACCTATTTAGTCCAGTTCAGGCAAATAGGTAGTAACTCCAGAAGACAAGTGATTGTACCAGTTGTAGGACCAGCAGCGCCATCTTGATTTTCTGTTCTGCACAAGCACAGAACAATCTTCATTTAAAAAATGCAATTTCTATTCGTTTTTTAATATTGTTCGCATGCGCAGATCGTTTTAAATGAAAATGCGTGAGTGAAGCGAGCAAATTTTTTTACTACCGAACCGGTAGTAATGGTGGATGGGAAACACCCCCTCCCTCCGGGGTAGATTTAACTTTTCCTCCCACTGAAACTTGAAATCCATTCTCATCTTTCATCAGTCGCATTCTTCGTTTTGCTTGAGGGACAAAAATGGCCATTTTTGCTCAGCTGAAGTCAGGATAGTGCAGTGATGGCCTCTTGGGACAGAGGCAACACACTGGGGGAAGAGTGACTTTGAACCTTCCTTCAGAGTCAGCAGACCAGGCCAAAGACTCCTTCCTTGGTGGCAACAACCCAAGTTCTCCGGAACATGAGATCGAGGAAGCAGCCCTGGGGAAGGGGGCAAAACATCCACCCCAAGTCTTGCTGCATCCCCCAACCCTAATCCTGCAGCTCCCAGGGTCTCCTGCCCCTTTTCAGAATTTCGCTTGGCAAGAACCCGAAGTTGCCTTCCAGGCCTCTAGCTAAAACCTTCCTCACGGTGAAAAAAACTAAGCGTCATTGTGGATTTGTTTTCTCAGGGAATGTTTAAAGGACTTCCCATTTGCCACCCACCCTAGTTTCTTGGTGAGACCCTCCCTTTGTCCCTGTTGGCTCCTGGGCAGCCCAAGCGATTGGCAGGCATGTAACCAAGCTGCCCACAAGCTGCCAGATGGAAACAGGCAGGCATTTTGAAAAGGCAGGTGAGGAAGCATCCCGGAACGGAATGCAGCAGCTGCCCTGCACAGATGAGTGGAGCTAACAGGTAGCCATGGCAGGTGGGAGACCCCCTCTGGGGAGTCCCTGTTGCTCCCTGGATCCTGCATACCCCTCTTGGCTGATGTGCAGCTCAGAGAAGGTGCACCTTGCTATGGTGAGCTTATGGCTTTTCTCGTAATCCCGCCTTGGCTGGGTGTCAAATTCTGTGGGGCCCAGAGCTGCTGTTTGGCGCCTCCTGAGCTGCATGTAAACCTCTGGCTCCTGTAATTGTGGAGCAGACACGGGGGTTGAGGCGTGGATCCACCCCCCCACTCCCCCGGCTGCTTTCCCCAAGATAGAAGGGGGAGAATCTAGGCTCCCTGGAGTGGTCTCTGCCAAGGAAAGCGGGAGGAGCTGACCGTTTCCCTCTTCCCACCAGGAGAGGCACTGGGGTTGCCAGTGGATGTGTTTTATAAGGCAGGCTCAGAGTTAGTTGCTGCCGTGAAGAGTTAATTGTATAGGAGAGTTGCTGCTGCTGCTGTGGTGCCGAAGACAATAAAGTATTTTTTATAAGGATGGGCTCCTCTGTTGGCAAAAGCTGGGAAGTTTTGGGGCTCAGCAGGCAGCAGAGGAGGTGCAGGACTCCCTGTGATCGCTCAGCTCCTGGTTGAAAGGAGGAACAGTTCTTGAGGAGGGGGTTGCCTAGAGCTTCAAGGTGGCCTCTTGAGAAACTCTGTTATACTAATATCAAAACAACCATTTTAGATTTTTAGAAAACGCTACACCACCATTGAGATTAATCTATTCAGAGACTCATCGGGAACAAAATCTATAAACCATCTGAAGTGTCGATTCATAGGTAAACTCACAGATTCTGCAAAGCCGGGCTGTGTGAGCTTAGCTCTCATGGTTGTGCAAACTCAACCAGTTGTGGTTTACTAATGAAATTTGGCTCAGCCTGGTTCCTAAACCAAGGAATGAGTTGTCTGGATGGAACTCAGCTATTCGAAGTCTCGTTTTTCTGCAGCTAATAAGCAGGTTCCTCCAAAGCCACCCCACCTCAAGAATGCAGAAATATTTGGGGGTTGGGGTTGGTTTCCATCCTGGCAGGCCCAGGAAGGTTCACGTTAGGTATTTCTGCAGCTTCTCTGCGATTCTAAGCAATGTTTCTTGCTTAGTGGCTGACTTTCTGATTAGGAGCTGATCTGGGCCCAGAAACAATGTCCGTTTCAGCCTTGCATTGCCGCTGCCATTTGCCGATTGGGGGCACCTGATGGACACAGCGTTGTGAGTGTGGCTCCTGTGGCTGTTTTCAGCTCCTGGGATTTTCTCCTCCTGAATGGAGAAAGCGTTCAGTAGCAAAATGAGGCCAGAGGCCCTTTGGTGAAGGTGCCCGACCCTTCCCTAGTTTTAAGCCTCCCCGAAGCTACCATAATTTTTATTTTAATGCCTCTACTGTGCAGATTAGCACTTGCCAATTAAGCCTTGGAAGAGACACCCAGATATCCGTGCTGTGTCTGCGGCTCTGAAAGTCAGAATCCTGTTGTGGTCCCTGTGTCCCTCCAATAGGAGCAAAGGTTGGCCTTGAAAGAAGCAGGAGAGAGGGAGCACCTTTGATCTTGGAGAAAACGCCAAGAAAACATACCTATGAATCATTGATCAAAATGACCCAGATTCTCACTCGAGGCACCAACAATCAGGCTCAACGGCTCACATTTAAACACATTCTGTGCCATCCTGGCTCCCTTGAGAAATCTCTAAGGCTAGAAAGGGTGGAGGGAAAGAAGAGGATGACCAGCAGGAAGGTGGATAGGTTCAATTACAATTACAACTGCAATTAATTCACTGGGATACCTGAAAGTTCAGGTCGAGGACAGATCAGCCAGCTCCTGAGAAATTCAGCCTCTGTGGTTGCTAAGAGTTAGCATCAATTTCAGGCCACCTAGTTAATAAGTCAAGCTTCCCTTTCCATTTCTGGTAAAAAAAATATTTAAGGCTGACAACCATAGAATGATGGGAATTTTTTTTAAAAAAAACCATGTGTTTAAATACAGGTAATGATGAGCAGGTAATATGGGATGCAGTGGCTCAGTGGCTAAGATGCTGAGCTTGTTGACCAGAAGGTTGGCAGTTCAGTGGTTCGAATCCCTAGCGCCGCGTAACAGAATGAACTCCTGTTACTTATCCCAGCTTCTGCCAACTTAGCAATTCAAAAGCACATAAAAATGCAAGTAGAAAAATAGGAACCACCTTTGGTGGGAAGGGAACAGCATTCCGTGCTCCTTTGACGTTAAGCCATGCCAGCCACATGACCATGGAGACGTCTTTGGATGGCGCTGGCTCTTTGGCTTTGAAACGGAGATGAGCACCACCCCCTAGAGCCAGGAACAACTAGCACATATGGGCGGGGGAACCTTTACCTTTATGTAAGTGTACATCTCTCTCCTGCCTTTCACATCCCAATAAAATTAGGCATTTCAGGGATTGGGGTTGTAAGGCAGCATTTGTGCTTGAGAAGTCAGCCAAGAAGAGCTTTTGAGGTCCCAGTGTTCCCCCAAACCCTACTCCGTCCCTGTCCTGGGAGGGGGGTTCTCCTCCCATCCTGGGGTTTCATTGAGATGGATGCAGGCGCTTCTAGCCAGAGGCCCTTTCCCCCAAGCATCTGAAGGCAAGACAAGAAGTAACAGATGGAAACTTATTAAAGAGATATCCAACTTAGAACTAAAGAGAAATGCCCTGACCCTGAGAATGATTATCCAGTGGAGCAACTTGCCTTCAGAAGTTGCGGGTGCTCAATCGGTGGAGGTTTCCAAGAAGAAATTGGACAGCCATTTGTCCGTAATTATATCATTGGACTAGAAGACCTCCAAGGTCCCTTCCAAATTTGTAATGTTTGTTCAAATGGAAGAGCAGCCAAGCAGGTAATTCCCCCTTTTCTTCCAGTCCACCTAGGCAGGAGGAGGCCCTACAGCCATGATACCAAACCTATGGCACGTCTGCCACAGGTGGCACGCAGAGCCATTTCTGAGGGCCCAGGGCCAGAGGCGTTGCCCTGTCAGCTCCAGTGCGCATGCACATGTTGGCCAGCTGATTTTTGGGCGTTTTTTGCTATCTGGAGGCTTCCCTGAAGGCTTCCCATTTTTTGCATTAGAAAGCCTCTGGAGCCTGGGGAGGACGAAAAACAGTCCAACGCGCAAACTGGAAGTTTGGGAATGGACTTCCGGTTTCCGCACTGGGCTGCTTTTTGCCCTCCCGAGGCTTCGGGGAAGCCACCTGAAGCCTCCAGAGGGAAAAAACAGCCCAATGGGCAACCCGGAGGTCTGTTCCCGAACTTTCGATTTGCATGTTGTGCTGTTTTTCGCCCTCCCCAGGCTCCAGAGGCTTTCTTGGGCAAAAAATGGACCTACTGGGCCCACCGGAAGTTGGAAAACGGATCGCTTCCGGAGGGCCTGGTGGGGGGGAGCAGGGGAGACTGTTTTCCCCCTCCCCAGGCTTCAAGAAAGTTGTGCACTCATGCGCAGGGCAGGGGGTGGTCACGTGTGCATGTGCAGGGGGCACAGCGCAGGGGGGTTAAATTATGGGGATGGGCACGCAAAT